CCCGCCGCTTCCCCCGCGCCGCTCCGCCCCCGTCCCCGCGCCCGGGGCCCGCCTGCCGCGGGTGCCCGCGGAGCCCCTCGGGTCGCCCCCGCTGTGCCGCCCCCGCACACCGGGTGTCCCCGAGCTCCCCGCGCTGCCCCGGCCGTGCCGCGCTCCCGGAGCTCCCGGGCCCTTCCCCGGCTGTCCCGCTGGCTCGGCCTGCCCCGCAGCCCTGCCCGGGCTGTGCCCCCGCTCTCGGCCGGGTTTCTGCTGGGCTTCCCGGGCGGCGCCTGCCCCGCGGGGACAGCGGCGCTGATGGTTAAGGAGGCAGGGGTCCGAAAGAGAGCTCCTTAACATCCCGAGTCTGCTCTCCATGGAGGCTGTGATACGTGTCCCGCTACAGCACAAACTTTTAATATACAGTTCTGTTTTCTCTTGTATTTAGAAAAATTATTCCAGTCGTATCCAAGTGTCCCAGCTCAGCAATATTCCCTTTGTCTCCTAATCCTGGTCTCTTTTAAAGGAGAGCATATGGTTCTTCTTCTTCCTTATGGTGTTTTGTATTCTGTCCTTGTTTTTATCCAGTAACGTTGGCAGGTTTTGTAGTCTTGGAGTATTTTGCTAATCTGGTTCTAGGCTAACACATAACAGAGACTAAATTTTTTTAAAGAATGTGTTTTTGAGGCTTTGATGCTCCAAATTTTATTTTGTAAATATGCTTCCAGTTATTATTAAAAGAACCTAGTAGTTCTTCCATGGTTATACATATATTTGCATGTTTTCCATTGATATTGTCATTATACTGTACTAATCACTACATAGTGATTATTTACTGAGGCTTTCAAGTGAAGCTCTACGTGTACGCTGTATTTTACATTAAATGGTGACTTGTGCAACCTCTTAAGAACATGCCTTTTGGATGTATTTCTAACCTGTGGTTAGATACTAGCTGCCCATCCTAGCTGCTCCAAAGACTGGTCATCTAGTAGGGACTGGTATGTTTGGGATTAGGAAAATGGGTTTCTTTACATAAGCAAGTGTAACTTCTGGGAAAAAAGTTGACAAGGTACTGTTATAGTTTGTTTTCGAGCATCTTTTAATCTTACTGTACTGTCTTTTGCATTAATAGTAGTAATATTTGCTTAATCAGTGTAAGGGAAAAAAAAACATGGAGTGTGTTAAACAGCAAGGGAGAAAAATGCATCTCTTTAAAGAGTATGTGGGAAAAATGTTAAAAAAACCTATCAGGTGAAAATTGTCACTCAAGTGAAGAAACTTCCCATTACCTTAGAAGGGCTTAGCAGTTAAGTCAGTTTGACATGTGACTTCTAGCAAGTCATTAAGAACCTAAACAACTTTGGTTTCAGGCTTTTACCAGCACTGTCATGTTCATTCCATAAAAAAATTCTGTGCTTTGAATTTACAGGCTTGAATTTAAAGGCTTTCTCTGAAGGAGTGTTATGCAGTGCAACCGTGTGTGTCAGCAAGCAGCAGCAGTGAATGACCTTACATTGAAATACTGCTGATAATTTATGTTTCTGGTTGTTTAGTCTATCATAGGTAGTTGTTGCAATTCTCAGTTGTACCACTGTTAAGTGAAATGATTTTTCCTTTGCCTTGCATACTCCCAAGTGTATAATTGCTAAGTGAGAGGCTGTATTAAATAGCTTGGTTATTGAGGTATTTAGTGATGGAGCTCAATCATGTGTCTTGTCTCATCATTTTTAACATTTCTGGAGAAAGAGAAATAGCAAATAGAATTCTTTGGCTCAGTGTCATTATGGATTTAATGTGCAAAATAACTAGATTTTTATTTCACAGAATTTGGGAATGTGTCCTAATAAGGGCTTTTGTTCTACAGCTGAACAGCATGTGACTGCTCTGATGTTTATCAGTGTTTCTAACATACTTGTGTAGTGAGATTACATAGTGAGATATGCTGTCCTTGGTCTCCTACAGAATGAAGGCTTTACACTCCCAGGATTTCCAGGAGACTTCAAAGTTCTTGTGGGGGTTTTTTTTGGTTGGTTCGTTGGGATTTTTTGGTTTATTTGTTTGTATCTGGTTCTTCCAGATCATTTTAGGTACTTAGGTTGGCTTCTGATCAATAATAGTTGTGTGGTTGATACAAAGTGAAAAGTACTCTGCTCTTTTACCATAAGGGAAATAAGAAATGTGTTTCTTAACGTTTCTAAAAGTGTTGGGGAAGCTGGAACAGAAGTCTTTGCAGTTTGCCCTGCTTCCAGTTGTGCTTTTTTTCTTGTTTTGTTTTGGTTTTTTTCTTCTTTTCAATTACCTTTCACATTTTCAAACCCCTCTTTATGATCTCTAGGACTAATCTATTGAGGTTTGCTTTGTTTTGGTTTTCCCGAAGTCTTTACATTGTGTGGGAAGTGATGATATAGGTCTCTCTGGTCATAAGGAGCCAAATTTGCAAGAGAGAATTTATTCATCAAGTATTTGGCACTTGCATCCATATATAGAGATTGTACTCGCAGTTCTAGAAATGCAGTTCTGTAGGACCTGTTGTTCCCTTTCTCTCAGGTTGGTTTAAAACAAATTGGATTATTCCAGACAGATATTTGTAGACCTTGTCCTTAAAAACCTTGAAGAAGAAATATTCTGCCACTTCTGTAGGCGTGAGTGAAGTTGCAGAAACTGAGAAACTTTCTCACTTCTGTAGTGAGGGTTGGTTTTTTTTTTTAGTTTCCAAATTAAGTGTACTTTGATGTAAATCAAGCTGCTGCTGATAAGAATTTGCTCCTGGTAAACTTTACTCTAACACTTAAGGGTATATTGTTCCAGTTTTAAGAACACTGTAAATATGGTTTGTGGTTGAAAAACTGCTGTGGTTGTAGAGGAACCATCATGGTAGTTGCAGTTTTCTGAAAACCTTCCTTCTGTTTGAGTAACTCTAAAAGACTCTTCAGAAGTGCAGAGCTGAGCATTAAATGGTGTGTTCTTATTGGACACTTGTGTTTCAAACAAAAAGACCTTTAAAAAGATTCCCTCATGGAGTTCAGCTTTGTAATCAAAATACTTAAGCTGTGTAGGTTGATAATTTATATGGGTTTATGTTCAAAATTTGAGTATTAGTTAACAGTTTGCATTTAATTTCTTTCCCTTTTACAATTGGTTGTATCTTCTGTCCAAAAGCTTAGTAGCTTAACTTAAAATAACTGTTCTTTAGAGTTACTTCAGTGTTTCGATGCTTGTAATGAATTCAGTTAAACACAGAGCTACATAAAGCTCAGTGGGTCCAATCCTCTGCCCTTTGAAGCGCACTGGGATCTCTCCCTCTGATGGCAGAGCTCCTCCTTGTGTTGCTTGTTTCAGCAGCTCCATCACCCCCTCCATGGCTAAAGTTTTACCTGATCCTGAATTTCAGTGTTTTTGCTTTGCATATAGCTGACTGCTTTGTCTCTTGTTCCATCAGAAAAGAGTTGATTCTCCTTGTAGCAGTGTTTTAGATTGTTATTAACTGCTCTCCAGTTTTTCTGGTCTTTTGAACCTCATCACAGGACAAAGGAATATGAATGTTGGCAAGAGAGACAGTTTGATTATCCAGGATTTTGAAGATGTTTTTAGCAGTTCAGATTTAAATACAGTATTTAAACAAAAATATATGTTTTATTGGAGGGGTGCATATGTGCTGACAAAGTATCAGTAAGAAGTGTAAAAGCTCATCTTTATATGTTAGTAGTAGAGAAGTGGGATTTTAATAGTCTCTTGTCATGAGAAGTAGCTGATTTTTTTTTGCCTAAGAAGGATGATTCTAATTTTGTTTAAAACACTTCAGTTAGAAAATTTGAAAGTCAGAGAGGAAAGGAGTGTTCCTGAGAGTTTACCTGTTGGTACATAAATTATAACATTCTGGTTTGTGTTGATGTTTTAGTTTATTAGCATATATATATATGTTCATGAGAGCTGAATTTTTCAGAGCTAGTGGTGCAGTGTTTTTTGTGTGAATTGAAGTATGTCTAGCTTAGGAAGGAAAAACAAGGAGCCCAAATTGCAAATTGAAGGAACCATGCAACTGGGTTACTGTGCCACACAGAAATGAATTAAAGAGGGAGGAGAGTGACAGAGCCTCCTGTGTATGTTTGTGTTTGAAACATACTCTGCCTGTGCAGCAGTGTTAAAGTTAGGAATGTTATCTCCACAGCCAAGGAATCTGAAACACCAAAGATAGATACTGTCAGAGAAGTTCTGCCATGCTGCTTAATTACTTATTAAATAAATGTTTTAGAGCATTGGAGATTGAAGGCGTGGGTATGTCTTTTGCAGTTGTATTTTCTGAATTTACTCCTGTTTATTTTTTTGTTTTGTGGCCTGGGTGATAGAACAAAGCAGATTTACTAATTGCCTGGACAGGACAAATCTGGGAGTGAATGTAAGCATTAGTGTGAAATAGTCTTGGAAAACTGGATGAGTGACCTGACCTGTATCGGATGCATTTCAGTAAAGAGAAACACAAAACAGTACCTTTGGGTAGAAGTAGTCAATTTAAATATGATAAACACTTGGCTGGGTGACAATTCTGTAAATAAGCAGCTGTATCACAAAATGAGCACAGTGGAGTTGTGACAATT